CGTTATTAGGTTATTTCTAGAGCTATGCAGAAAAGAGTTCACGTAGCAGGACTGAACTCTTTTCTGCATACTCAGTGCCCGGCGTTTTCTTTGGAAAGCCTTGTTTGCAACATTGGCCCTGTTTGGCATCTGGGAACTTAAATTTTGGAATAGTTCTTCCCATTAACTGATGAGAATGACACATTGTGTCTGAACTGTGTGCACAAGCAGTGTGGTTTATGCTGACCATCTGCTTTCCTTCTGGGAGTCTAGAATTGGGATACATGCCAGGCAGGAGCTACCTGCGTGAACAGCCCCCATCAAAAACCCTGGGCATTGAGTCTCTAACAGGCTTCCTGGCTGGCAACATTACACATGTGCTGTCACAACATGTTGCTGGGATAGTTAAGCATGTCTAACATGGCAACACTGGGAGAGGACCCTTGGAAGCTTGCCCCTGATTTCCCTCGGGCTTTGCCCTGCGTACTTTTTCCCTTTGCTGATTTTGCTTTGTATGCTTTTGCTGAAATAAATCACAGTCATATGAATATAGTAGTCTCCCCTTATTTGTGGTTTCACTTTCCACAGTTTCAGTTACTTGTGGTCAGCTGAGGTCTGGAAACATCAAGTGGGAAATTCCAGAAATAAACAGTTCATAAGTTTTAAATTGTGCACTATTCTGAGTAGCATGATAAAATCCTGCACTATCCTGCTGTGTCCTGCCTGGGATGTGAATCATCCGTTTGTCCAGTGTCTCAGTTATTAGATTGAAAAAAAAATAGCATTAAAAAAAAAGAAAAGAAAAAACATAGTATATAAAGGGTTTGGTACTATCCAAAGTTTCATATAGTCACGGGGGATCTTGGAACATGTTCCCACGGAGAAGGGGGGACTACCTTAATTGTGTGCTGAGTCATGTGAGTCTTCCTAATGAATCATTGAACCTGGGGCTGGTCTTGGGGACCCCTGACACAGGACCTATAGAATTTTCACATTTGAAGAGACTGAGCAGCTTTCAGAGCTTTCCTTCTTTCAGTAACTGAAGTTCTTTTTCCACACCAAGCCCAGCAATCGCAGCCTTTCCAGCTGAACAAATAATCCCTGTTCTTAGAAAAAGGAATAGGAAACATTGTGATACTAGATTGGGGATGGAGTGAATACTTCGTAGCTTCTCATTACAGGCTCTGTCTTTATTATTAAAGTAAAATTTCTGAGAAGTTTCAGCATCTCATGGGAGATGCTGTCCTGGATTAGAAGCTTCTGGAGAACATGGGCCCAATCTATCTCATTCTAGATATCTTCCTAGCTTTGGTTCATGGTGGGTACTCAATAAATGTGTTCACTAACACAGAAAACTAATTTCAGTTATAAATTATTTTTATTTTTTGTTAATGTGCCTTGGAATTTTTTGTTTATTTTGTTTTTATTTTTTTCCGCTTTATGTAGGTGACTAAAAGTTGACTCTAAATGTTCTTGTGTACTAATTTTGAAATTGCTGGCAGTTGTGAAATTCATAAAGAAAATGAAATACTTTTATATAATAATTCTTTTAGTTATTGCTATGTAACAAAGTTCTCGAAAACTTAATGACTGAAACAAGTAACTGTTTTATATTTCACATAATTTTGTGGGTCAGGAGTTTGAACAGGGCCAAGCGGGGTTGGCTTGTATCTGTACCATGTGATATCTCCAAGGGTTAGAAGATCTTTACACATCTACCCCTCCACTAGGACGGCTCAAATGGCTGTGAGCAGGTTAGAAGGGCTTGACTAGAATCATATGTCAGAGGCCTTGGTTTTCATTTCATGTGGTTTCCTTGGTTCTTCTCCGTACAGTCTCAGGACTCTTGCTTTCCATGTGGCCTGTCCATCAGGGTCGGGGCAACTTAGGATTCCCAAAAGTGCAGAAGCTTCAGGAGCTGCCAGGCGTTCCTAAGGCTTAAGCCCAGAACCTCACTTCTGTTGGTTAAAAGCTATCCCAGGGCCAGCCCAGATTCAAGGGGAGAGGAAATGGAATCCACTTCTCAGTGGGGATGTGTGTGTATAGGGAAAGAAAAGGAATCCATGGCAGCTGTCTTTGGGAGTATTTACCATAGTAATAATGCATTTGCACAAACTTCAGAACTTCCAATTCTCTTCATAAACTTTGATTTTAAATGTTATATTCTTGTTTTTTAGCTGAAGCATCTTGATTTTATATGACAGGGCAAAACAAAGAAATATTAAAAGGTAGTAGCTAGTTATAAAATGTAACTTAAAAAAATAATTATCTACTGTAAACATGTCATTACAGGTGTGGAAACAATCTCATGGAAGTTAGAATCTTTGTCACAGGATCACATATGTAGTTAATGGCAGAATAACTTTTAAAGCTTAAGAAACAGTTCAATATACAGTTTTACTCCATGAACTTTAAAAATATTTTCTCCAATTTTATTATCAAGTTAAAATTGGTGGTTTAAAAAATTAATTTTATTAATGTGTGGTTTCTAAAACATGCTTTTTTTTTTTTGTTTGTACAAGTGGTAGACCCCAACTATCAGTTTGTAGATAAACTAGCCCATTGGTGAAAAAGTATACCCATTTTTTGTATACAAGCTGTGGCATTGGTCACTTAGTTAGCACCATTTGTCTGTTTGCCATAAGATTCAAAATAGAATCGTATCTTAAGTGAAAATTTTCCAGTGGATATTTTGTTTATACACTGTGTGACTGGATAAGGGATATGAGCCTGCAAGAGTCTAAATCAGTGTCTGTTTTCCAGGCTGCTCATTAGAATTAATTCAGAATGGGAATTTCAGTGCCCAGGCCCTTTCCAGACCAGTTCAATGGAGTCTCTGAGTGGGAGGATTCAGCATCTTTTTTTTCTTCTGTTTTTAAGCTCCCCATGTGATTCTAGTGTTTGGGGAGCTCATTGAGAATCACTGGTCTAATTAAAATTATTTCTATATGCAAATAAAAATTATGTTTATTCTATACTAAGTGGCTATTTTCTGTATCCAGCAATATTTTCTTTATGTTTCCATTTGGAAAAACATCATTAATATGTAAATTTAGCAAAGTGAAATTATACATATTGAGAAGTGAAGACCTGGAGAACCAATTAAGATAGATATTTACATATGTAGAATTAATGTTTATGGTGTATCCACTGAAGAATTATAAATTTCCCTTCTGAGTTGGTTAACCAGAAATCAATCATTGTTCATGACTCTTGAGTCATTTAGTGAATGATTTGAGTCTTAACCATGACCTGGATAAAACATTAAGAGAACATGATACCAGAGAATGTATTCACTCTGTATATGCATGGCATTCTTTCAGTCGGGAAAGAGTCTGGTTTTTGTTTTTTTTTTTTTTTTTTAGAGTTATGTGCTATCATTGAAATATTGGACAGTGATGTGAGAGTTTGTGTTGAAGAGGAATGAGATTTTGAAGTCAGGTTCCAGTAGCTTTCAGAATTTTCTGGCTGGCATAGGAAATGACCATGTTAATTTGAACATTGATTGGGTAACCCAGCAAGAAACACACCGCAACCCCCAGTCTGATCATTTGTCTAGAGTACAGTCAGTCCTCGATGTCAGTCCTTGATCCCATGTTAGACCAGGGGTTGGCAAACTGTGGCTTGTGGGCCACATCCTGCTCTTTTCTAGAAATAGTTTTACTGGAACATATCCACGTTTGTTCATTTACTTATTGCCTATGACTGCTTTTAGATGCCCACAACAGAGTTGAATAGTTTTGACACAGATTATATAGCCTACAAAGCCAAACATTTACTAGATCTGACTCTTTATGGAAAGTTTGCCAAATCCTGTGTTAGACTATTGTGGTATTACACATAAGACTATCGTAACACACATTACTCGCTCATACTCCTAAATAGATCCTCTTAAGCCAAATTTGTCTTTCATACACAGGTGATTGGAGATAATTCCATCTTTAGGGCTTTGGCAATGAGGGGAGCATGCTGCTAGGCCTCTGATGCTCTTACTAGAGGGAACCAGGATTTTGCTCACTTCCCTGGGGTGGGTGTTTCCTTGCCTAGCTCTTCCTCCGTGTTCTGCATCTCTGTCATTGGCTGTTTCTCCCCTTTCTTGAGGGTGGCACGTGGTAACAGGTTAACTGGAGCAGGCAACTTGGGAACGTGGTCCATGAGGATCTTCCACTGCAGTGGAAGGGGAGAAAGACCATTTTGACACACTTTGCTAATAATTGATCTGGATGTGGAGGTTTAAAGATTAGGAGCTACTCAACCTTTAATTGTGGTTCAAGTGAATAGTTCGAAAAGGTGTGGAAGTCTAGTGGAGAGAGCATATCTGGCTTAATTCCCCTAGTCTCTGGTGCAACAGACGGGTAGCTGGCTACCTCTGAGCGGTCAGCCACATCTCCACCTGGGGCACCTGAGTGCTAGCAAAGACTCTGACCTACTTGCTGGGTTACTTACACTTGTCAAAGCAGTACCTGCAAGTATGTTTTAAAATAAACATTTTTAGCTTTCGAAGAACATAACTCCCCTTTCTGACATGTAAAGCTGTTAATTAAGTTTTAGCCTTTTGATTTTCAGTTAATTTTGTAGAAAGGTATTACATACAAAAACTTACATACCTGTAAATGAGATAAGATGTAGTGATGTTCTGGTAAACACTGGCAACCTGATCATCAGAGCCACAAATCTGGAATGGAAGTTACAGTTTTGAGAAAAATGTTGGAGTAGAGTAGAAAGCCCTGTATTTGGGCTCAATTTTCTAGATTATGATGGCTTCAAGTGCTGTCAGTGAAGACCCTGACATTTTTGTTCTCCTACTGTGATACGGCAGTGAAGGCAGTAGAGTTAATGGAATCAGGCTGAATTGCCTCTCAGAGTAAATAGGTTAATAAAGATTCATTGATGATTAATTCTCTGTCATGTAATTTTTTTAAAAAGCACTTTAAGTTTTTAGTTAGCTATGTTTATGGTATGTGATTTTCTAAGTGTACCCCCCTCCTCCCACTAACTCTTATCCCTTATTTATATGATAGATCAGCGACTATCATCAGTTCTCGAAGATGAGTAACAGCCACCCTCTTCGCCCCTTTACTGCAGTGGGGGAAATTGATCACGTGCACATTTTGTCTGAACATATTGGTGCCTTGTTAATTGGGGAAGAATATGGTGACGTCACATTTGTTGTGGAAAAGAAACGATTTCCTGCCCACAGGGTAATCTTGGCAGCCAGGTGCCACTATTTTCGGTAAGTGTGTAATACTTTTTTGAAGATGCAAGTCACTTTTAAAAAATTCTGGTATTTTCTACTCTAGGAACAATATGCAACCAAGGATAACAACAAATTCTAGAAGTCCCTCAATTCGACATCTATAAGAATTTCATCTTTGTAGACTTGTCATTTTTTGAGAGTCACCTTTTCCTTTAGGAGCCATCTTAGAATTAAGGGGTTAGAAGGCTTCCCAGGCCAGAGAGTACCCAATCAACCAGTTTTCAAGGTCTCAAGAATATTTCTCAGGCTGAGTCTTGGTTGCCCTCGCCTTCTCGCAGTAGATGACTGATGGGACTTAAACTGATCTACTGGCAGGTAGGCTTCTTGTCATGTAGGTAGACTGACCTCCAGACCTGTTAATGGACATGTATACCTCTTGTTTTGAGACCACTGAAGTCCAGGACTTTTCGGTAACCCAACAGATACTCAGTCTAAGATACTCAGTTTGACGATTCCAAATTGAAAGAAACTTAGATATTGATTGAGACTAAGTTTCATATTTATATTAAAACTAAGACTAAATAAAATATTTATATATTTAATTAATGTAAAAATCCCACTTATATGCAGCTATTGTCTGTCACTTGGACCCTTAATTTCCAGGTTTATAAGTATTAAACTGATTTCTAGTTACTCTACATTTTACCGATATTAGTTAAAAGGGAATCATCATTGAATAGTCAATAAACTGATATTTTATCCTTGATAATGGGCCATTTTCTATTTTCAAGGATAAAGATGGTTCATAGAGTTATAGATATGCCTGGGAAACTCAGTCTCTAAAATGGAGATGCCAATAGCTTAGAGAAAATTTCAGTTACTTTCCAGTAAAAACTGCCATCTGATTTTTATAATCAGAATTAATCAAGACAGCCAGGCAGCAACACCTAGAGTCACACATGTAAAGTGTGTCTTTTAGAAATATTTACTGTTTAGCTAGAATTCCTGTAGTTTCTTATGAACATTTTTAGAACTTCGCATCTTTTACATGTAAAATGCTGCTGTTGATGAAACCAAGAGCTTAGAGAAGAGTTCTGTTAAGAGTTCTAGCTAATATTCTATTCTTCCTAGTAGTCAGCTCTACCAAAGACATCTGGCCTTGGTCTCATCATTATTTGTTAGCAGCCTCTGTCTTCTGCACACTTTTCATTTTGTGTTCCTTTTCCTTTTTTAACTTTTGGTCCAATCATTACTACTAAAGTGTTTTTTAAGAGTCCACTCTTCATTAAGTCAGAACTTTTCAGCCTTGTGTTTAATACTTGTTAATGATGTATATCTTGCCCTCTTTAAAAAATAATTTGAAACAACTGTAGGTGGATATCAGTGTACTCTTAAAAGAAACTCAAATACTTTTAGAAATTTGAAGATCATATTGAGTAAACGGAATATACTCCCCTCATTTATTGACCTTGTTCCTGATGTCTTTGTGGATATTGGATGTTTGTAATGTTTGATGTCTCACCAAGATAAGCTCAGAGTCATTACCAGTGCTGTCTTAGACAGATTCTCTTTGCCAGCACTATTTGTGTGCAAAGGAAAGTTAACTGTCAGCGGCCAGGAGAGGCCTAGGTGCCGTCATAAGAGTCTATGGATTCCCTGGTAAGGACAGGCTAACTGTGCTGGAGAGAGTTTTTCACAGTAAACATTGAACTTCTGCACTTGCCTTCTTGTTGAAGCTGGGGGTTCATATTTAGTGTTCCAAGGGAGCCTCGTCCAAGCTACTTTTAAAGCATTGAGAATTCAGGTTAAAGACCATGAATCACACTGGAGTGGGAGTAAGTCTTGAGGTCTCCCCAGCAAGGAGTAGTTCTCTAATTTGGTAATTTTAAGGTATGGTTGGATGCTCTCTGGACTAATGAAAACCTTCATGGGTGTTTTTAGGCAGAATATAACTCAGTGAAGAGGTATGCTCAGAATATGCATGAATCTTTTGCTGGGTAGTTTCAACTGTTTTCTCAGGAAAGCAAGAATGCCAGGTTCTGAGGGAGTGTGGGAGAAGTTCCAGGCAGGTATGGAGGTCACCCCTGAAATGCTGGTCCTTCCGTGAGAATCTCAGGAACAGAGAAAATTTCTTTCTTACTCCTATTCTCTTGCTGTCACTTACATCTTTCTTGTTCTCTACCCTTCTTTCCCTTTTCTGCACTCGTTGTCCTCTTCTGGCCACCCTTTTTTCCTGACAGCTTGGAGGTTTAATTGGTTCATATTATTCCTCCTAGACTAGTAGACTTAGAAATTCAAATTCATTACATGACTGGATTGTCTAGTTTTCATTTTTAGATTAACAGGTAAGCAATAATGGAAGGCTTTTTTTTTTTTTAAATCTGAAAGACAAAAAAAATCAAATCACCCATAATTCCATCAGTAATTTCAGTTTTAATTTATAAAGTAGTGAATGAAAGTCCTTCCCTCTCAGTCATCTAATATCATTTCCCAGAGACAGCTGCTGTTAACAGTTTAATATAAATTTTCTCTGATTTTTCTTGATTTAAACAGATATATCTATATATGCATATGTGCATACACATATAAGTATGTGGTTATACACTTTTTTCTATGCAATACATATGGATCTGCAGTTTGACTTACTTGCCTATTACATCCTGAACATCTTCCCAAGATAGTACATATTGATCTCCCTTGATTTTTATAATGGCTGCATAGACTCTCAGTTTTCCAATCATTTTCCTATTGATGTCCATTTAGATTTTTCCAGTGTTACAGTATATATTCTTAACATTTCTTTACTGTATGATTTCTCTAGAATTGAGTCCTAAAAGAGAGATTACTGAGTTCAAGCGTATGCACATTTTAGATTTTAATATCTATTACTAGAGTACTTTCCAAAAAGAGGTGTCCATTTATATATACTCTCAAATCTGTGCATGAAAGAACTTGTTTTCCCATTGCTTTAGCAGTGTTGGATATTAACAAACTTTTTAATTTCTGCCAGTCTGGCAGGGGAGAATGACATCAGATTGGCGTTTAACTGTTTTTTCTGACTTTATGTTTTCCTATAGAGTTTTACTTTTGAAACTGCCTTGTTGACCTTTAACATCTTTATATTCATTTCATTGTTCCTCTCGAAAGATCACTTTCATCTTTCTATTTAGTACTTTTTTTCTTTTTCTTTCCTTTTTCTTTTTTTAAAGATAGAGTCTTGCTATGTTGCCCAAGCTGGACTCAAATTCCTGGGCTCAAGCCTCTCGAGTAGCTAGGACTACAGGCATGCATCACTGCATACATCATCTTTATATTTAATGTCTGTTACATATCTTGAGCTCTCAAAATATCTAACTAGTTTAATTGTTTATAGGATTAATTCATAATAGTTTTAAAGTCATCCCTCTTGCTTTCTTTGGAGAATTATTTAAAATGATTACTTTGGCCAGGTGCAGTGGCTTATACCTGTAATCCTAGCACTTTGGGAGGCCAACTAGGGAGGATCTCTTGAGGCCAGGAGTTTAAGAGCAGCCTAAGCAGCATAGTGAGACCCCATCTTTACAAAAAATTAAAAAAATTAGCCAGGCATGGTGGCATGTGCCTGTAGTCCCAACTACTGGGGAGACTGAGGCAGGAGAATCGCTTCAGCCCAGGTGTTGGAGGTTGCAGTGAGCTATGATGATGCCACTGCACTCTACCCAGGGCAACAAAGTGAGACCCTGTCTCAAAAAAAAAAAAGCAAAAAACAACAAAACAAACAAAAAAATGATTACCTCGCATATCTTCATCTGAATCTTTGTGTCATTAGACAGATTTATGTATATATAATGTTGATAACCATTATTTCCTCTATTTTGTAACAAATCCTGTTTGAGATTTCCCTCACACGTTTCTTCTCTGATGCACAGAGCGTTACTGTATGGTGGAATGCGAGAGTCTCAGCCTGAAGCAGAAATCCCTCTCCAAGACACCACTGCGGAAGCGTTCACGATGCTACTCAAATACATCTACACCGGGCGGGCCACGCTGACAGACGAGAAGGAGGAGGTGTTGCTGGACTTTCTGAGCCTAGCTCATAAATATGGATTTCCAGAGCTGGAGGATTCTACCTCTGAGTATCTCTGTACCATACTTAACATTCAGAACGTCTGTATGACTTTTGATGTTGCCAGTCTCTACTCGCTTCCCAAGTTAACCTGTATGTGCTGCATGTTTATGGACAGGAATGCTCAGGAGGTGCTCTCAAGTGAAGGTTTCCTCTCCCTTTCCAAGGTGCGTCATTTGTCTACAAGTAATTTATAGACATGCGTTGTTTTATTTATACCTGTACAGTAGAAGTATAGCAATGGGCTAAGATAAAAAAATAAAAACCATTGGTATTGAGGAGGTTATCTGGCTGCTGGGGCTCTAAATCATATAAGACACAGGCTGTTTGCTTCTGTTTTCTTTTAAGGTTCTTCCGGTAGGTAAGTTTTGTATGCAAAAGAGACTATGGTGCTGGGCGGCTGTTTTCAAGGTGATGAGAGTCAGATAGGATCCTTTGTGGTATTGCATACTACCTTTGGTTTTGTTTTTCTCTGACAGAGAGTGCAACTAATTTCTTATAGCAAGAGGGAAAATTTATAATGGAGATCTGATGCATTACTGGATATCATTAAGTCACTGCTTTTTTTGCTGGCTCAAAATTCACTGTTATAGCTAGAGTAAAACTATTTTGTTCAAATCTTTCTCTGAATTCTGGGCGGTGGCTTTCTCTCTCTTTCTCTTGTTGTATTCCTACTGGAATCTGCATATTTCTAATGAGAAGACCTATTGGAAAGCTATATATCTTGATTTGAGTGTAGATTATGATTTTTATTGTCCTACTTAATTTTTAAAGAGAAGGATTTTTGAAGGTTGTGCCAGTATTGCTGGAGGTCAGTTTGGAGATCTGAGGGCCAACAATGTGATAGAGCAGTAATACTGTGGAACAAAGCTTCTGAGTTTTAAATGCAAGATAATCTTACTGACCTAAAAATGTACACTCTTCCTCAAGAACATGTATGTATTGACAGTTCCTTACTTTGCTGTGTTTCTTCTTGCTGTTTTAAAAAAGGACGGGTGCCAATGTGTTTGGAAATACTAGACGCTTGATGTAGTGGTACAAGATGGTTGCCCGGGAAGGAAAGGTGCTACCATCCTCCCTTGTTACTCTCATAGCCATAATGAGCACAAAGCATAAAGAAAGAAGAGGGTCAAAAAGAGTTAATTGGCTAAATATAAGTCATACTTGCAGTTCTGTAAGGTTTTCTGATTGATCATGCACATGGCTGAGCTTCATAATAACTGGAATTTTACCTTTTTATCCTTTTCAGACGGCACTTTTAAACATCGTATTAAGAGATTCATTTGCAGCTCCTGAAAAAGATATTTTCCTAGCCTTGTTAAACTGGTGTAAACACAATTCGAAGGAGAATCATGCTGAAATCATGCAGGCTGTGCGTTTGCCTCTGATGAGTCTCACTGAACTTCTCAATGTTGTGAGGCCTTCGGGACTCTTGTCTCCTGATGCCATTCTGGATGCTATTAAAGTACGATCCGAGAGCCGGGATATGGACCTCAATTACAGAGGCATGCTCAGTAAGTACTTATTTGTCCTAAACTCACCAGGGAGTTTTGTTTGCATCTATGCCATTCTCAACTACACAACTATAGTACAGCTATATATAATATATATAGGCTTATGAATATATAGCTCTGCTTCCTATGGAATGTCTGTCATTCTCCTGTTAATTCCGTCTGAGATTGCATTGCCTTTGTAGACCGCAAAATAGATATTTCTTGCCATTCCTGGACAGATTTCTCTAGCTGCTCTCCAGAATATCAGAAATAGACACTTCCCTGAAAAGCTTCTCCTCACACTAAGATCTTTCCTCCACTTTCTCCATCAAATAAATACTGAGTATGTGCTGAGTACTTAGTATTTTAGGTACCATGAGCATGTAGATTCTAAATAATAACAATCATTGCTAACATTTATGTAATATACATAGTGTAACGAACACTTATGTAGCATTTCCAACACTTATCACCACTTAATGTGATTTTTCTTACTAATGAAAATAGTAGCAATTTTAAAGGGCTTACTGTGTATCAAGAACAGGTCCTACATGACTATATAATTCTCAGAATACCCCTTTGAAGTGGGTACTATTTTTGACTCCATTGTACGATGAGGAAATGGAAGCACAGAGAGGTTAAGTAACTTTCCCAAGGCCACACAGAAAGATGCAGAGCTGAGAGTCAAACCCATGTAGTTTGGCTCCAGAGGCTGTGTAATTAACCACTAAACTATGCTGCATAAATGTAAAACATAGTCTCTTTGATTGTGGAAATAAATCATAACTGCCTTGAAAAGTTAAATACAACAGGATTCAAGAGGGTACATATTATGGAACTTCAGAAGAGGGAGTGATTGGAATGATCGAGGGAGATTTCATGGAGATTATGAAATTTGAGTTAAGCCTTGACATTTGATTTGAATGGCATCAGAGTGGGGTGAATTTCACATGGGAAGATGGTGAGGTTAATACAGAGAGGTTAGAGCATTTGAGGCACCATGAATAGAAGAGCTTGATTAGAGTAGAAGGCTTATATTAATTAATAACGAAGAAAGTATGTGACGGTCAGCTCAGGCCAATTATGGAAGTCTTTGAAACTAGATTATAATCTCCTTTATATGCAGTGAGGAGCCAATTTAAGAGGGGGAGAGTAGCCTGTGTACAGTGGTAGTTTTGAAAGATTGATCTACGATGCTGTGCTTGAGGATTTGGAATAGGGAAAAACTGGATTTGGGGAGACCAGTGGGGTGGGTATTTAATTTTTGCACAATTGATACAACCTTAAACCAGATTGATGGCAGGGAAAATGGAAAATAATGAATGTATAGAAGGGGTATTATGGAAAAAAAAATAGATCTTGATGAGTCAACAGATTTAAATTTGGGAATTAGGTTCAGGAGAAAGTTACCATATATTATCAAATCTAAGAAGCCGTAAATTCTGAGGCACTATTATTTCATGCACCACTAAGAAAGGAAACAATACTGCCAGTTAAACCATGACACACTGTGATGTCTACTTCCCAATTTCAAAAGTGTTAAAATTTGAAAACCAGGTATGTATTAGAGTCCAAGAAATACAGTACTTTGACGAAGATGCCGAGCTTGTTTTTAGATTCATTGAGTTTGAGGATTTCTGGGACATATAAGTTGTAAGTTCTGTCTCATGCTAGTTATTTCCCTGAGTGATCTCTTCTTGACCATGGATTCAAACACTCTTTTGAAATACTGACTGATCTTAAATAGGTGTCCTTAACCTAGACTTCTCTCCTAACTCATCAGATCTAGATTACTTTTCACTGGACATAGAAGAAAAAGTATAGGTGTTAGGCCAGATAAATTTGACCTTAAATCCTGATCTAGTCACTTAATGGTTGCATGATCTAAATTACTTAAGGAGTTTCACCATTAATTTTTGTATCTCCTAGCATTGTTATAAGAATTAATTGAAATGATGTGTGCAAATAATATGTGTGAGCTCAATTTAGAAAGCCATTCTTATCATATTATCCTTATTGATATGTTCTTCCTCATCTCTGTATATGTGTGTGAGAATTATCACGTTGATCACATGGTTTTAAACGTTTTTGTTTATTTGTCTTTGATCCTTGAAGGCAGAGATAATCTTTGTAGGCCTTATTGATCTTTGTATCCTGAACATTTAACGCAGTGAATAGCATATAGCAGGTGCTTGGTGAATGCTTGGTGAATGAATGCAAGGAGAAATGTCTAATAGGAAACAGCAACACATTACTGGTGTTTAGGAAGCAGTCAAAGCTGGTGATAAAAGTACAGAAACCTGGGCTAGAATACATAGAGAGAAGTAAAGATCAAAGCCTGAGACTTGGAGAAGACCTAGAGCCTGGGGACTTAAGGTAGAGAAAGCGGAATTGGAGAAGAGGGAAGATATTTGGGTCAGAAGAGAATTACGGAGGCCAGCCAGAGGAGAGAGTTTTTGTATGAATGAGGCTGGTCAGTGATACATCATGAAGCTGGGAGGTCAAGGAGAATGAAAATTGAGAAAAACTTTTGTATATAAATTGTGGTGAGTTGGTGAGTAGTCTGCACAGAGGACTGTCTGCACAGTGAATGAGGCTATGAATGTTTGAAAAAATAGTAGATATATATAATGTACCGCCTCTCTGATTTGTGAATTGGGCTGAAAGGTAGTAGAGAAATAGTATGTGGTAGCTGGAGAGAACAGTTTGGGAGAGATCCACGCAGAAATTAGAAGTGCTAGAGAATGGTACTAGTTTGAGGGTCAGACTTGGATGAAGTGTAGGAGCATAGAGGTTGGAGAGGTAAGAAGATGAGTTATTAATTTCAGACTTTCCAAATCTTCATTGTCATACCTTCTCTTACATAAACTCCTTTTTCTCTTTTATTGCTCTGTATTTGATTTGAGGTGCTGATAGGGCCCTGGAGCTGGATTCATTATAGGAACAGGCATGGGACATGGTTGCAGGAGTAAGGGGATGTTTTGGACATTTTACTAGTTAGTGGTAGCTTGAAATTGATCAGCTGATCCGTACAAGTGTGAGACCTGGCTTATAATATACCCACGGGATTGGCTGTGAAAGGGAGTGCTCGGCCTGTTGAGGACGCAGGGCTGGAACGATACAGTTACTGAGATTATTGCTCACCAAGGTTAAACTCTATACTGAAGTAATTTATAGGGAGCTCTAGGAAGAGATTATATTATGTTTGGGAATCTTTTATCTAACTTCTAAACTTGAGTAATAATTAAATAGCAGTCTGCTTTTCCTGACTTCATATTCTTTAAGAATATGAATAGTAAAAGCAGTTATATAAATACTAAGGAAGCGTAACACTTTCCTATCCGATCCTTAAAAAACAGGTTATTTTCTAAGTAAATGTTATCTAAACATTCATATCATTATTTTCTTTAATCAGATTTCTTCACTGTTAGAAAAAAAGGATCTAAAATTTCAGAGCTGTTCTTGGGCTGATTTGGAAAGATAGGTCTGCTTATTTTGAAATTATTGACAGAATTTTTTGTTGTTGTTCTTCCCTGGGTGTAGGTTCTGTGTCTTTGGGGACTTTTCATGAAATGTAGAAAGGTTCTATCTTGGGGCGGAGACATAGTCACTAATGCTTTTTCTTTCCCTGAGTTCATTATCATTGGTTACTGGAAAATTTAATTCTTAAAGACGCATACCCTGAGGCTTTTACTAAATCAAAGAGATTTTCTTCCTCCCTTTAAAAAAGAAAAGAGGATTCAAAGGGTGTTTTTAACTTACCTGTGATGGTTGGTCTTTCTGGAAGGTAATTTAGACTAGTTTTATGCATATATAATGATGAACATTCTTCTATACAGTTGGGGAAAGAGACTTAACTTTTTAATAAGGTTTTTTTCCTTAAGATGTTTGAACTACTTGTATGGTATTACGACTTTTAGCTTTATCTTAGCTGTGGAGATATTTCCGTTTTGAAGGTTAGTGCTTTTTCTATTAAGGCTGAGTTATACTTTGCTTTGTACATGTCAGATTTTAGGCTGGGAAAGAACAGTAATTTCTTGTTTCTGCATGTTTATAGTAGGAAGCATATCACAAATTCTATCCTCAAGATTTCCTTATTGAGTAAAAGTCAATCTGTTCATAGGACTGCTAAGTTAAATTATTGGATAGTGTGTGTGTGTGTGTGTGTGTGTGTGTGTGTGTGTGTGTGTGTGTATGTATTTAAATCTGTCCTTTTGATCCGGTACCTATTCCTGTAGTTTCCATTCCTCAGACTGAGGAGCTTGCCACTGTGATACTATCATTGTTGGTTTATTTGCCTGGACTCCTACTAGACTGAGCTTCTGGAGGACTATAATTATGTCTTTTTGTCTCTGTTTTTCCATCACCTAGCACAGTGCCTGAATCTAGGCTTTTTTTTTTTTAAATAAGTGAATGACAGAATGAATCCATCCCTTGCTTCTAAACTAGACTTTAAATTTGTCTCACCTGTCATATAAAAACAGTAATAACAATAATGAACCTTTAATACTTTGAAAACACTTTGACTTCTGATACTATTGTGTTTTCCCAACGGTAGTTTCGCTGTGATAGGGAAAATCTCATCTGTAAAGTCGGGGGTTTATCAATCATCTCTAGTTAAGTTTTCCTCTGTGGAGGCATTTAGTGTCTATGTATGTGCTCTTGTCTCATTAGATGGTGAGCTCCGGAAGGTTGAGTCTAGTACAGTGACCAGCACATAAGAGGCAACTTAGGACATTTTTCTTCTTTGAATGAGTAGGCTGAAGGTCCTTTCAGCTCTGTGATCTTTCCAAGCAACTTTCCTAAATTACCAAGTAAAATTGGAACCAGAGCTGGAACCAAAGTGCTGGTCTTGTGTCTCTTGAGGGGAGTGGTGTTCCATAGGTTCTCCTGCCTGGCTTCTTTTTTATTTCCATTCTGGGGTATGTCTGAGTACCAGTACTGTCCAGTGTGGAAAGGAGGCCTGCAGAGAATGAGGACAATGGGGAAAGTTAAGGTATGATAGAAGTTGTCGAGAAAGTCATTTGTAATGCCACGGTTTTTGGGGAATATTCACAGGAAGGGAGGATCTATGTGTTCTTTGGGGAAGTCGAGGTAGGGAGTAGAAGATGATTTAGGTGACAGAATTGGTTAAGTAGATTGCAGTGGGCAGAGAACTAATTCTGGATCCAAATAATCCATCAAGGTGAATTCAACCATCTCAACCTACATGTAATAGAGAGTTCTATAAAAGATGATTAAGAACATAAAGTAATGAAAGAAAAACACAGGGTAATTAACCCAGCACCACTCAGATTTTGGGCCTCTGTAACTAGGGCAGTTCCTGCTTCATTTCTCCTTAGTTTTCTTTTCTAATAATTGGCTTGTTTCTACCTAGCTGTAGAACTTCAAAACTTAATTTTTTTCCTTAATGTTTGTAAAATGCATTAAAAATTACAAATGTAAAAATATTATGATTGGGGCCAGGCGCGGTGGCTCACGCCTGTAATCCTAGCTCTCTGGGAGGCCGAGGCAGACGGATTGTTTGAGCTCAGGAGTTCGAAATCAGCCTGAGCAAGAGTGAGACCCCGTCTCTACTAAAAATAGAAAGAAATTAATTGGACAACTAAAAATATATAGAGAAATTAGCCGGGCATGGTGGCGCATGCCTGTAGTCCCAGCTACTCGGGAGGCTGAGGCAGGAGGATCGCTTGAGCCCAGGAGTTTGAGGTTGCTGTGAGCTAGGATGACGCCACGGCACTCTAGCCCAGGCAAAAGAGTGAGACTCTGTCTCAAAAAAAAAAAAAAAAAATTATGATTGTTATTTGCTATCTTGTTTAATCCCTACAACCTTGTATATTTTGAGAGCTCTTTTCTCTACTGATAAACAAATATAGACACTGAGAATATTTATGGAATTTATGGAATCATTTTATTAGGATTTGAATTTTCTCATGATCACTCTTCCTATTAAATTCATCACTTAATTACAGATTTTACAAAAAGTGTTTGCAGTTGTATTTTTATCTAGTGAGATACTCAAATTATGGTTACATAAGAGAATTTCCACTTATATAAATGTTCACCATTTTGAAGTGAAAGATATTTTCTGGGAATGAATCTATATCAAGAATTGTTAGAAAAGTTCTCAAGTGCTCTTGAAGTAAATTTCAAAAGAAGACTTAAACTTGTGGTAGAAATTTTATTTCCATTTTAGACGTTAATTGCAGTCACTTGAAATTCTTGTGCTTAGTTATCCCTAGCTTGATAAATTTTAGTGCTTAAGAAGCTTACGTTTAGAGAAAATCAAAAGGTGACATTAGTTTATAAATCTGAAAGCTTGGTGTTTCCCTTTGACTTAGTGGTGTCAGAACTGGAGGAGAGGGTTCCAGGGGTCAGCAGCAGCAGACTTTGTTCCTCCACATTTTATACTTAACAAGAAGGGAAAAAATGTTTATTTTTACCAAGTAGGTGTGTATCAGTGATGCCTGACAGACACAGATTCGAAGCTTTTGTTTGCTTGCTTGCTTGTAAACTGCTTCATCTCTAGAGTGGAGGCCTCAGAAGGAGAGGGCCTGTCTCTGCTGAGTTCACTAAGTCCCTCCCAATGCCTCACACAGTACCTGGTACAGATCCAGTCCTACAGATCCTTTTTGACTGAATGAATGCTTTATACTGACATTGTACTTCAGCATGTATTATTTGTAGTGTAATTTTTACAGTAACCCTGTGAGGTGGGTTGGGCAAAGTATTATTTTTAAATGAGAAAACAGATTCAGAGAGACTAAAAGGCCTCACTCAGGGGTAGTGAGTGATAATGCCTGAGTCTTAAACTTATTTTTTTTTCACTTTAAGTACAACTTTTTTTTCCCACTCTACTAGACTATCTGTTTCTTTCCTGTGGGTCTTAGGCAACCTCAGAGGGAAGTGCATGTTAGAAGGAGGGGAGACGTATGGTAATCCATCAGAAACCCTTCATGAGGGAGGTTGCAGAGCATTGTGTTATTATAAAAACAGGGCCCCTGGAGGCAACTGCTTGGATTCTAATCTCAACTCTGCTACTTGCTAGCTATGATACATTGGGCAAATAAGTACATCTAACTTTTCTCTGCCTCCACTTCTCATCTGCAAAATGGACATAAGAGTAGTACTGTCCTGAAAGGATTGTCATGAGGAGTAAATCAAAGGAATTAATATTTGCAAAGTGCTTACAACAGCATCTAGACTCTGTCACCTAATATACATTATATAAGATTTGTTAAATAAATAGGAAGACTGTAGGTGATTATCACAAGCTAACAGAACTTAGAAAGTTATGAATATATAGCATTTAAACTTCTGGTGGTAAGAAGTTTGAACATGACTAGGATTGTTTTGTTTTTGCTGAGCTGTCTCAGTCTTTTGCTAGTTAACTGAACCCCACCCCAGCTTCCATTTTTCAACTGCATTTATTGTCCTCTTCTGGAGCCACTCTCTTTACCTGTCTTCATTTGCAATTAAAATTTTCTTTTTCCAAAAAATCTACAGTGATGAATTACTTACCATCTTTTTCCCTAAGAGCCTGATTATAGCTCACACTTTGCACTATTCAAATCACACAGCCAAGATGTATGTGTTCTGTGTGAATCCAGTATTTATTTATAGTCTGTAAACTTACATAGTTCTCTTACCATTGTGTACTTTTTAATATATGTTTTGTAATAGTAATGACTATATATTTTTAGAGCTTACTATGTGCTTTACACACATCATCTCATTTCATCCTCAAAACAAACAAACAAAAACACCTGGGGGATAGATATGACCCTGTTGAGAAATTGAAGTTGAGAGGCAGTAACTTTTCCAAAGTGATACACCTGATTAAACATGGAGCCACTGTTTAAACTCTGAGTCCTCAAAGTCTTAACATTGTTCATCCTCTTGTCTCTCCATGGAGAGTGTGTTTTAGAGTGTTACTACCTGGAGGACAGGTTCCAGATCTGTGAAGCAGAGTTTGCATCTAGGACTTCCTAGGGAAAACTGGCACTTAATAAATCTAATGTTGGAGAGGGAGGGGATTTAATAATAACCGCAATACTGATTCTGATGACAGACTGTCTAAATTTTTACTTTTAAAAATTCTTAAGTGAAATAAAAATACATCTTCTTTTAAACATTATCTTTTTCTTTAAGCTATACTGATTCAGCAGTCCATGTATAACTACCAGCTGTGCTCTACTGGAACCTTTTCTTTCTGTTGTTTAGCAGATGTCTGACCTGTTTGCTTTGCTTTTGTACGTTGTCCTCAGTCCAGGTGGCAGGTACAGGTCATCTTACGTGCTATTTTTGTTCAGTAGATATTAAATTAAAGCTACTAATAGAATAAACTCAGCAGAGCTGATTTGTTTGTCCTAGTATGTGCTTTTTTTAGTATTATTAACTTTTAAAAAATAACATTAGTCCCTAGGTACTTTTGTGGCTGTGATAGTGACATTAAATTTAAACTCTACATGGTGTCTTAATCCTCATAGACATTCCATGTTGTCTATCCCCGTAAACTTGCCTATGCCTTTTTTAAATTAAATGCAAATACTAGAATCAACTATAGAATTCTAGAATTTAATTTTTTCCCCCAAAATGTAGAATAACTTCGTAAATAACCATTAACCTTGCTTTTTCTATTTTTAACTGTAGTACCAGAAGAAAACATTGCGACTATGAAGTATGGAGCCCAGGTTGTAAAAGGGGAGCTGAAGTCTGCATTATTAGATGGTGATACTCAAAATTATGATTTGGATCATGGATTTTCTAGGCACCCTATTGATGATGACTGCCGTTCAGGCATTGAAATTAAGCTAGGTCAGCCATCCATTATCAATCACATACGGATACTCCTGTGGGACCGGGATAGCCGGTGAGTCATTAGCACGACAACCTAGTTTTGTGATCATCGACTTTGGTTTTACAGATTTTGATGGTTTGTTTCTTTGTGATCACTCTGTTATTTCTCTTGAAGGTTAGTTCTGGGGAAAGAGTTAAAGGATATTTTTTAAAAATAAATAACTTTTTTTTTGTTTTTTTTCTGCTTCTAAAAGTAATGAATATGTGTTTATTGTAGAAAATATAGAAAGCACATAGAAGAAAATAAAAATTGCTAATAATCTCACCACCCGTTATTAGTCTCTTTATGGATCTGATTAGTGGGTTTTTTATTATGTATAGACACACACAAAACAAAAACCTATGCAAAGAGTTTTATAAAATAAAGATTAGGTGTACAAAAAGCTACCTTCATTTTATAATTTATGCATTGTGAACATTCTACCCTTTTAAAAATATTCCTCTGAAATGTTATTTTTAATAGTTGTCTGGTATTCCACCATATGGGTTAACATTATTTATTTGCTTTTGGATACTGCAACTTTTTTTTTTCTTTCTTTGAGATGTTGCCCAGGCTAGAGTGCAGTGGCACAATCATAGCTCACTGCAGCCTCAAACTCCTGGGCTCAAGGGATCCTCCTGTTTTAGCTTCCCAAGTATCTGGTACTACAAGTGCAGGCCACCATGCCTGGCTAAGTTTCTAAGTTATTTTAGTTTTTTTTTTTTTTTTTTTCAGAGATGTGTTCTTGCTATTTTCAGGGTGGTCTTGAACTCCTGACCTCAGGTGGTCCTCCTGCCTCAGCCTCCTGAGCCACTGGGATTATAGGCGTGAGCCACTGTGCCCAGCTATTATGACTTTTTAGATGCATTTTATCCTGTGCGTGAAGAGAAAAATTGTCTTTTAGTGTATGGATAATCATCATCCTCAAAACAAATTTTTGGAAAAATTTGATGGGCCTCAGCCTGCAAACCCACTCAATTTCTCAGTGTCTTCAGAATGCTGCCTTTCTACTAGCCACTGTGTTACTTTCACCCACTGTCACCCCCAGGTCCATCCGTGATGGCAGTAGTACCTGAGCAGTATGGGCGACCAAGAACTGAACTGCCTCCTGTACTACTGTTTATCATTAACCTAAACCTTCCATACCCAGAAACTCGATACTGTTCATGCCGCTGTAGGTCTGGGCACGAGGGCTTAATAGTAATGGTGACAACGCCCTGCAGACTTCACAAGGTAATGTGTGTCTCTTGTCAGCACCGCCGGCCACCACCCTGGCCTTTTACACCATTCGAGCCAAGTATGAGGGAAGTCAGCATTTCTCATGTGCATGGGTCCTTGCGGTCCCCAGGTTACTCTCCCTGTTTCCTTTTTTTATTAAGAATATATTTCCTGGTATATATTTGTTTGGATATATGATGTTTAATTGGCAAAGTGGAGCTAATTCACATATCTCATTTCCAAGAGTCTCTGATTAATAACAGTATAATAATAATACTTATATAGTACTTTCATTACTTTTATTTGGTAGGCATTGTTCTAAAAGCTTTACATATTTCACTCATTTAATTAATAATGAAATTAGTATAAAAATAGTAAAAGAAAAGCTTAGTCTGTTTGAAACTGAAAGTCGTTATCATTTCCAGGATGTTAAATATTTATAGGCCACTTTGTTTTAGTGTGTACGTTACATTCACAGGGGACTTAACTTTACCACGTAACTGTTCTTTTCTCACAGAAATTGTTACCATTCTAAGCAAAGGTGAAAAATTCAGAATCTTAAGCAAAAAGATTCTGACATGTTGTAAAATTATATCCTGCATTACCTATAACCCAGAGAGGGTCAATAAAACCTTATGACCAGTTTGAGACTGAGCGATAAAATGAAGGGGAGTGAGGGGACAGTGGAAAACGAGGCGATGACACAAAATAAGCTGACCTTTTCTGGCCACAACTGTGGGTTGCAGGCTGACATTTATGGTCGCCTGAATCTTCCGAGATTGTTCCTGTCGATGTTGCAGTACAAGCAATGACTGCATCTCAAATTTAAGTTTGGTTCATGACAGGGGAATATAGGTTTGTTGAGTGTGGGACCAGAATGTGATAGTCCGGGGTACTGGCCAGAGGAAGAGGATAGGCTGTTTTCGTTACTGCCAGATTATTAGCTGGCAGATTTTAAGTTGTACCCAAAAGAAGCATGCTTTATCTCTTCACTCGTGTCATTTGTTTTTTCTGCAGACTGCTTGTATGTGTGGGGTGGTAGGAGACTGGAAAGTAGCAGGAGATAAGCTGGCCTCTGTGGGGAACCGTCCCAAGCTGGCTTTCCTCCTGAGAGGGGAGGCCGAGCACATTGCCAGAGAAGGGATAGGGAGAAGGCATGCCTCTTCCTTCCCTATTTTCTGTTCTTTCTCTTTCTCGTGGCTTTATTAATCTGCTAATATGGTATGGGAAAGGCATCCTGGCCATGTTTGAAAAGGAGCCAGTGCTCTGCGTGCCTGATACGTGCCAAGCACTATACTAGACCCTGGGGACATGAAGGTAAATATGGTATGGTCCTTGTTCTTAAGCAGTTTATGGTCCTTGTTCTTAAGCAGTTTATTATGTGATAAGGCAGACACACAAGCTGAGAGATAATTTCAATGCATTGTGGGTGGATGCTACAATAGAGACATGTATATAGCTTTCATCATTATCTGAATTTGATTGTGCAGAAAATACAATTATTGGCCAGGCACAGTGGCTCATGCCTGTAATCCTAGCACTCTGGGAGGCCGAGGTGGGAGGATCGCTTGAGCTCAGGAGTTCGAGACCAGCCTGAGCAAGAATGAGACCCCATCTCTACCAAAAATAGAAAAATTAGCCAGGTGTGGTGGTGTGAGCCTGTAATCCCAGCTACTTGGGAGGCTGAGGCAGGAGGATTGCTTAAGCCCAGGAGTTTGAGGTTGCTGTGAGTTAGGCTGATGCCACGGCACTCTAGCCTGGGTAACAGGGTGAGACTGTCTCAAAACAAAAACAAAAACAAAAAGTCAAATAAGAAAATACAATTAGAATGGAAAGACAAGCACCACATGTACTCACCATCAAACTGGTATTAACTGATCAACACATAAATGCACATATAAGAATAACATCTATTGGATGTTGGGCAGGGGGGAGGGGGAGAAGGGGACGGGTATTTTCATACACAAAGAGTGCAATGCGTACCACCTGAAGGATGGACATATTTGAAACTCGGACTTGGCGGTGGCGGGGGGGGGCAAGGGCAACATACGTAACCTAAACATCTTTACCCCCATAATATGCTGAAATAAAAAAAAAAAAGAAAATACAATTATTGAATTCTATATTTTTCTATAGCTTTTAACATTTTTTAAAAGTATAGCTTTGTATTATTTTAATTTTTTTTTCTTGCTTTTTTCCTTTTGGTTCACAGGTCTTATTCATACTTCATTGAAGTATCAATGGATGAACTTGATTGGATCAGAGTGATAGATCATTCTCAATATCTGTGTCGTTCTTGGCAAAAGTTATATTTTCCAGCCCGTGTCTGCAGGTTAGTTCTTGTGGTTAATAATTTTGATTTTTATGTAAGGAGATTTGGACTTTGGGAAGCTGATTGCATTTTTCTATCTCATGGAAGAAGAGTTTTTCAGAGTATCAACCACCAAACACATCCCAAGTAAAAAACTTAGGGAAAATGTGGAAAATTATATGTCTTAATATTTAGAGTATATTGTGGAACTATTTATCCAAAATGTTTTGTATAATATGTTTGTAGTAGAAATGTGAATGATTAAAAAAGGACATTTGAGAAGTGGAAGTGGTTTTAAAACTCCATGCTATGCATTGAAAGCAGAATTATTGTTAGCGAGTATGTTCTTCCCATGAAAGCCATGAAAGATATTCCTGGAGGCTTCCCTGGCAATGCCCGGGGCCAGGAGGAGGTTTTTCAATGCCAGTGTGCATGTTTTTCCCTAGGTCAATGGTTATCAGATGGGGTTTGAGAGAACAGGTGTTTCATGTGGGTCAGGGTTTGGAACAAGGAAGGCTTAGCTACTGGGGCTCCAGGCTCACACTCTCCCTTCAACCAGAGCACCTCTGCTTTTATTGCTGTTTTGTGTTGCAGCCTCGGGTACAGTTGTTTTTAAAAAGTATTGAAGGGCTACCGTTCTAATACTTCACGTTCTCCCTTTAGGAATAAGCCATCATTTAAACTTTTCAATGAAATTCTATAAAACATATATGAATTAATGAATTTGGGAGTTGGGAAAGGTGGTTAAAGACCCTGAAATTCTGTTTTTTTCCTTAAAGTCGAAAGATCAAAGACAGAAAGTGATTTGGTTCATTTTCTCAGGTGTGGCAGGAAGAGAAGGGACAGGATATGGTGGGTGTAAGCCAAGAAGAATGTGGAGCTGGCCTTTCACCCACACCCCTCCCCACCCTCACCCATGACCCCTCCTGACCTCCCACTGTGGCTGATTCGGAGCAGATGGGGATGCCCCAAGCACCTATTCTCTTGTTCGGAAGTCACCCTTGTACTTGTGAAACTCATTATCTAACAACATAAGCCCGAATTCTTGCCTCCACCAGGAACTCCACAAAACCTTTCAGCCTCTGGCACAGTGAGGACTGTTGCCTACCTTTTTTTTTATTATGGATGTGAGTGGACATAATATTGTTACCCAGGGATCTTCTTGTGTGAAAATGAAGAAAATCAATTTCATTTCCCCATAAAGACACTGAAGTATCTCAGGTCTGACAGTTGCTCTTTTATCAGAGGAGTTTTGAATGGATTAAAATGAGAGGGACAAGAAATTAAGTGAAGATTTCGTATCTCAGAACTGCCTAGGGATACTTTGAGAGTGACAGAGGGGCCCCCACATGGAGGAGGAGATTGAGTCTGCGTTGACTCAGGTCGTTACTGTTGTATGGGATTAGAAAACAGGCAGCACAACAATCAAAGCATCTGATATGGACGGAAGGACTTCGTATTTGCATTTAATTTGAATCATGAATATATTATAACATCAGCCATGATAGTCTGTGTGCTTTACCCAATTGAAAGCTCTTGTTGTAGGTGTGGAGGGAGATATGCGCCTTTAGTCATGATCCTTGGCTTTTAGAAAATACTTCCCCTGTATTTATTAATGAGCATGTATTTATTAATGAGCACTTCTCTTTCCTTATTTTGTCAATCCTATCTGGCCTTGACTTTGTTGGTGTAGTTTTTATGTGTTTGGAGCCTGGCTGTATTCATGATGGTAGTTGTTGTTTTGGTATAACCAGCTTCTAACTCTGATCGAGAAAAACTGAGCAAAGGTGATGTTATAGATAGTGATAGCAGGAAAAGGAAGGAATCTTGATATCCATGTTAGAAAAATTTAAAAAAATTTATAACCACTTTAATTTATATTAATTACTACATTCCTTCATAAACTACCTTTTGCACTTGGTTAGAATTTTGATAGTGTTTTAAAATGAACCTAAGAATAAGTATTGATTATTCAAGGATGGCTTGGTGTTTCTTATCTTCACAATCATTTATTGACTACCTAGGCAATGTTCTACATACACTTCTTCCAGGAACTTCACTGGGCAAATAAATACTTCATTTTCTCAGCATGTAAGTGTTCAATTTGCATTATGTTCGTTAATTTGCATATTTGTATGTCACCTTTGTTCTTTAGTGTCCTTTGTGTGTTTGTCTTGCCTCTAATAGTAACATTACAAGTACTTGGAGGCAAGGAGTATGAATTCTAATCTTTTAGTATTCTTTTTTTTTTTTTTTGAGATAGTGTTTGCCTGGGTTAGACTGCAGGGGCATCATCATAGCTCACTGCAAACTCAAATTCCTGGGCTCGAGCGATCCTCCTGCCTCAGTTTCCCAAGTAGCTGGGACTATAGGTGCTTGCCACCATGCCCAGCTACTTTTTCTATTTTTTGTAGAGACAGGGTCTTGCTCTTGCTCAGAGTGGTCTCAAATTCCTGGCCTCAAGTGATCTTCCCACCTTGGCCTCCCAAAGTGCGTGAGCCACTGTGCCTGGCCTAATCTTTTAGTATTCTTGCATGTTACTCAGACTGTGACCTTGTATGCAGTAGGTACTCTATAAATGTTACATGGATTTTGTGGTATCAAGGCACTGACTATATTATTGATTTAATGTTAATATGCACATGTATTTACTCTCTGGTGTGGTAAATGGTTCTGAACTGTTTACAAAGGTTACTTTGGTTTTTTTTCCAGGAAACTGAACTTTGAGGTTAATCCTGTGGGGTATGAGTGTCATATATTGATGAAAGATTACATCTAATACATTCACAAAAGAAGAGATACTCTATGAATTCGGGAATGTGAGATTACCCAGTCCTGTCTCTGCATTTAGGCTAAACTGCATATGAGTCAGCGTTGTATAGTAGAAAAACTAGGGGCTGTGGAGTTAGATAGAGCTCTTCTCAAATCCTGGTTTCACCTCATACGTGTGTTGTGATAAAATTGTGCCTCCTTGAGCCCTGGAATCTAAAGCCATAAAGAACAGGACTAATGACACCCTCTTCATGTTCAATGTGACAGTTGGATGACATACAGTATTGACGAGTACTGAGCACAGTGCCTGGCTGAAAGTAGAGGCTCAAAAAATAGCAGTTGTTTGAGTTATTTTTTCCTAATTTTGGAGACTCCCAACTGGTGTATGACCTTCAGAAACAAAGAGTCATCCCTGCCATCTTCTTTGGCCGTAGCAGCTCCCACTGTGAGGACACTATTCTTACGTCAGAACTTAAGTCTTCTTGCGACTTTTCCATATTGCCAGTCCATGCATAGCAATCCAAAACATGCCTTACACAGTTTTCTTTGTCTTAACAACCTGCCCGTTTTTGTATGTTTCTAGCAGTTTTTATATATTTTGATTTTGACAAAACATTTTTTATTTTGACAAAATATACATAACATAAAGTTTGCCATTCATTTCTCTTGTGGAATAAAATTCAGTCAGCTTTCACCTGGCCAAGATAGTGGATCTTATCTAGTGGTGATAAGGATGGATTCAGGCTCCAGAGCCAGAGTAGTTGTTCCATCCACAGCAGTGAACGGAGGGAAGTGATCTGCCCTTTCTGGACTCTTTTTAGGAATGCTTGTGGGTCAGGTGGGGACTGCTTTATGTAGCCAAAAGTTTAGACCAGTCACCTCCCTCGGCCCCTAACTGGAGATGGAGAAAAGTGACTCATTGATTTATGTCCAGTCTTTCGTGTGCCCCCCAGAGCCATGCTGTGTTTGTCAGGCTTCTCTTTCTCAGGAAAGGCAAGTTCTGCTTTACCCATATCTGCAACCTTAAATTGCCTTCTTGGCTGTCTATACCAGCGAGCTCCCTCCCAGTCCTTCCCACAGCCTTCTCAGATGGTGGAGCCCAGCACTGAACAGAAAACGCTGGTAAGGAGTGGAGAATGTTGAGTACTCTAGGGATGCTTTTTAAAATTTCTGTTTCTCAACTTGGTGCTGTTAATTTGGCAGCCATAGAATATTGCTGGAATACGAGAAGACTTGAAAACATAGATGTGATTCAGTAGAGGTGGCTTCAAAGTGTGTGTATGACTCATGGTTGGAATTACAAGTGTGATCTTGGTGTCAAACCTGGGAGTTGAGGGATAAGAATAGCAGGGCCAAAAGCAGAGTTTGCAAGGATTTGCCTGTTGGGAGAAGGAAGAAGAGAATAGGTGGCAGAGGTGTTTACCTCAGGGCTGGTCCCAGAGATTAGAGGAAGATTCATAGGATCACAGTTTGCTGAAGGCAAGGCCAGAAAGGGTGTTGAGAAGGGCACAACTTGACAGCTAAAAACGCAGCAAGGAGGGATGAACTCGGTTAACACAAGCTGGATTTCTTTCTTTCTTTCCTTTTGTTTTTAATCATCAAAATGGAAAAGTCTCTCATTATAAAATTATAGTATTTATATTTTATAAATTTATAATATTTTAAATATTGATAAAACCTGCCCTCTGGAAATGTACCCGATTTCTACCAACTGGACGTAAAAATTCCTTTCTCTGAACTCTTACCAATGCAGGCATTGTCAACATTTTGCCAATGTAATTTATGATTTGTAAAAAAGTCTTATTTTGCTTTCAATTTCTTTGATTATCAGTGAGTTAAAGTATCTTTTAGTATTGGCCACTTGTTTTTTTCTTATTTATGAAAAGCCTGTTTTTGTCTTCTGTATATTTTTTTCTGAGATGATTATCTTTCTCCTTTTGTCTTGTGAAAACTTTATATTGATGCATTGATACATTTGTGTTTATGTGACATTATCCTTTTGCCTGTCATGTATTATGTAATTTGTTATTAGTTTTTAGTGTTTTATTGGTTTTTATGCCATATAGAGTTTTATTTTTTAAAAAATGTAGTCAAATCTGTCAGTCTTTTTATGATTTCTGGTTTGCTATTGTGTTTAAAAGGGTACTCCTCACGCCAATATTAAAGAATGTTATATTTTCATATATTTTTTCTTCCACTTAATTTTTTAGTATTTGTATCTAAATATTTAATCCAGCCAGAATATTTTT